CATTGTGCACCGTCAGTATCACGTGATGGTACGGTTCAACATCAAACGCAAAACAATAGCTTTGTTCTATGGAGTTTCCAAACCATTCCGCTCCATTAACTATGTTCACACGCTTGTGAGGGACGCCTTCTGACTTTTGGAAATATCAATAATTTTGTTAATCCAGTCAAATTCTATTTTCTTTTATAACATTTTAACAGGATTTCCTTAGATACTCTGATTTAGAAAATTCTCTGCAAATAGCAGCGTCCCTGTGAAGTGTGTGAAGGAGTACGAGGTAGGGGAGGTTTGCGAAGATCACAACACACAAAAGGACACTTTTGATTTACTAGGGAAAAATTCAGTCGATTTCATAAATTTCATTTCTCTTACGCTATGTCGATGGCCGAAGTATCTATCAATAGGAAATTTGAGGAGGAAATAAACATGAATACACAAGAGTGGCGATCAGTATATACGGTAGGTATATCGTATATTGAACCAGGAAGTTGCGGGTTCCCTAATTTTTATCATCATATAGGACCGTGAGGGACTTGATTCGAATCGAAATATGCTAATCATTTGACAAAAAGGCCGTCGAAGCTTGTGAACGAGTGCTAACCCCAGAAGGTGAACTTCTTGCCAAAAATATGAATATTTTTGCCGASGAACACCTTTTTCTTTACGATTACTATTGAAACCATCATTGGAGCCTTTATTTTATCGAGATTTATCAGGCTTTATCCGAGCTATCACTTGTGAATCGACTCCAAAGACAAAATGGCGAAAATACCAAGCATCTTTCTTCTCGTGTTTACAAACTTCCATTGAAAATCTGTTCGTGGTTTTTGGAGTTTGAAGAACTAAGAATTGGTGATATTGCGTCTGTATTTACGCTTAATGCTGTATTTAAGTGGCTGGGACATTTTGAAGCTCTTTCAGTGAAGATATTCGTTCATTTGGTTGACTTTGTGTTTGCTCCATATTTGATGACAACAGCGCTTGTTTTCATGAAGAAACGCCTAACACCAAGAAGCTATTGTGTCGTTACCCTTTCTACATCATAGAAAGAATATCATTTATCCTGTCTTAGTGTGCTTYAGTCTAAATAACATCTAACAAGTCTATCCAACAAGAGGGAGAAGAACTTGGAACTCCAGTTTTTCCTTTCTCCACTTGAAGAGAAGTCTACTGATGCTTTGACAGATCCATCCACCCTATTATTGTTATTCCAGTAGTATCTAAAATTTATCTTTCACTTCGTAATAATATAATGATAGACATTCTTCAGAAATATAGTTCAATTTATAAATGTAAGTCTAAAAATAAAATATATAAAAATAAAAAACAATATTAGTGCTCAGACTTTTCCAGTAACAGAAATAAACCTGTATTAAAATCAGTTTTTGTTCAAACTTTTTTGTTGGATTTAGTTGCAAGTTTTTAATTTTTTTTGTATATCAGCTACATCCATAAACTTTCAGCTTACTCAGCTTACTCTTGCTACTTAAAACATGCATATTAACAAAAATATATTTAAATATTATACTTAATAGTATAAAGATTATATCGAATGTCTAAACTATATGAATATAAGAATTAATATGRCAGTACAATAAATCTATAATTTCAAATCTAACTGATAATGTTCTTAAAGGTGTAAACTATGAAATCAAAAAGCTAGGGTAGATTTTGGAGTAAAACTCAGTTCTTACCTCAGAGAAAATAAGACATAATCTATCATTATTAACAGAGAATATTCACTACACTGTTTGTGTGAGATTATAAATTGAAATAAATATGTTTATATAGAGCGTTTTTACATGACATCATAGAGGCCATGTCGTTGTGCCAAAACAATACATGTTCTATCTATTGAATTTMATTTTTAWGCAAAAATTGTGYAAAAAGTTTCTATTGTTTGGTACACCAACATTGCTGCCTTGTCACGTGAGTGAAAACACTCTATAGGGATCACCACATAACAATTCAACCATAAACATGATCAACCTCTATCCTAATTTTTCTGTCCAAGGAAGGTATGCCTTACTGATTGTCTAACAGTTGGTGAATATTTACAGTGCGACCACTCCAACCAAAGCCACCTCAACAAATTTTATTACAAMTTATCAAATGGTGTTTGAGTTTTTAGACAACAGATAATTGGCAAATTTTGAACTTAAACATTCTTCCGTTGTTCCGGCCTGCAAAACTAAATGATGAATGAGAGCTTTTAATATATTTTCTTCACAAATTAGTGATTTGTGTCACCAAAAATATAGAAAAATAGTAAAGTATGACTTCAAATACAACAGAAAAGGAAATTAGAAACCATATAAAACACAGTCTTTATGATTACACTTTGTTTCTTCCAGACAATGATATTATCAGGTTRACACTGTTAGATCTTATCACCACGTTGCTATGCGACAGCACGTTTATATTCGACAACATAGGTGCCGGCAGTCTTCTAAACCGTGTAAACCCATGGATATTTGTCCAATTTGTAGCTATTATATTGTTCAGATTCCCACTTTTGATTGGCTAATTTGTAGAATATTTGTTTGGGTTGCCTTGGTTGGTGTAGTTTTACTGTAATCTAAGTCACCTCTGTGGGCTGAGATGGAGTTTGTATGGCGCTTTTAAGTTTGGGCATTTATTCTGTCACTGACTCCAAGCATTTTGCTTCCTTTCCTTCTCTCTCTCTCTCTCTCTCTCTCCCACTATTACCCATCACACTGATCTTAGCTGAATCAAACTGGTTAGAGCTATTCTCCGGGCAATACATGGACTATATAGCAAGCTGCCAGAGTTGGCYAAGCGTGCTTTTAGTTCATCGCTGTTGCACTGCATCATCTTATTCTTAGTGGTGAGTAGTGATAACAGTTAGCTCCATCATATCCTATTGAAATAATATTTATTAATTCTTTTGTTAATTTTCTWATTAATTCTTTTGTTAAGGTTAATTAACATTCTAATATCAGAAAGTTCGCATCTCAACAAACCTGGTTTGATTCCTGCATATACTGGACAAAGAGTGCGTGCAGTTGTGAAGTGCTTTCGTTGTGAAAAAGCCCGGTGCGTCTATGCCACAAAACCATTAACATCGACCTGTAATTCCTTGTTAAACGAAGTTATAGAAACTCGAGTTTATTCGTGTGGAACACCTTTGCTGGAAGTTGGACATCAGTTGGAAGGTAAAGTTTACACCAAACCCTTGGCTTGTGGAAATAGCGTCGAACGGGCTTTTTACTGCAGTCGTTTTGGCGCCGGAGATGTTTGTTCACGGTGTGGTAAGAAAGAAAAGACAGGGATCAATAATGAAGTAAAAAGGAAAAGGCTTGGACTTGTGCTACCAGTCTGTACTCGCTGTAAATCATTGGAAACTATTATGAAATAATTTCATCATCATTCTTTAGTTATATTTTTTTCTAAAAATATCTTTAATTACATAGTGCAAAAATKTTGGTCAAAAATTTGGCAATATTTAATTTCGACTTTCTCTCCTTCATCTGACTCTGAGTACGGTAGAAATATTATTCCAATTTCTCTGTGTCCGAGACTTTAGATATGGGGATTTAATTCTAATTTTTTACTTGAAAAAGATACATTTTAATTGACCAGTGTCTTAGAATATAATGCGCCAGCATCTTGATGAGCTGATTATATAAACTATGAACTTAGGATACATGAGATTTGTTAATATTGTTGCAATTGAAATAAATGGAATTTAATGTATGTATGAAACTGAGATTTAAGTCACTGTAGYTATCCTGGGAAATCCAGGGGTCGTGAAACATCCCCCGCACCCGTTACATGGAGTGATGATTATAAAATATGATTTTTTAAAAAAATTTACCCCCCAACTTATGATATAATGAAAAACTTTCCACATACAGATATATCGATAAGATGGCAGGTCCAGACATTAAAAACCAATTTAGTGCCTTACCCTAAGAATACTAGAAAGCGTATCCTATAATAAATTTACGTAAAGTAATAGCAATCAAAAAAGGCGAAAAAATATGCTAGTTTGGCGTCATCGCAAATAAAATATATCAAGCAGAGGAGAGGTGCTTGAAATTTCTCTACAAATCTAGAATGCTTTAAATAGATAAGCAGTCGTTTTCGTTGAGAAATCTTAGAAAATCAGAAACTGGCGGGCCCGAATGCGTGCGGCTGACAGTCGATTTTTTCCAAGTGCCACGGAAGAATCGATTTTATTCTATGCCGAGAAAAGACAGATGCATGACTACATATCAGTACTATAGAATCAAAATAATTGATTTATATTCATTGTAAATATTGAGGAATAAAATGAAGCTTGAAACTTTCAGTGTCCTTTCCTGTCCTATCCTCTAGATCTTCTAACTCGCTTCTCCTGTCTCTTTACAATTCTCTTTGGACTCCCTGTGGATTTTTTTAAAACATCAGATGTCTACATTGGGCTCCCTGTGGTTAAGACTAAAACAAGATGGCGGCCGGCTGGTCTTCAAACTCAAACACAGTTCAAAGATAATGGATTTTCCGTTCTGTTCGTTTTAAAAGTTCTCCGCAAGGTATGAAAAACACTTAAGTRATTATTAGGGTTTAACAGTGGCAATAGTGTAATAGTATTTTTTGTACTTTACATTCGAGTACATCTTTTTGGCATGTGATGTCACACGTGCTGGGAAACATTGCAAAATTTTYATTAAGCTTCATTTTTTACACAAAAACATAGTTAATTTATCATCCTAATTTGCTTATTACCATTACATTTATTTAMATTTACCAAATTACAAGCACGCCCTCTCTTCGAGGCAAAAGTGCTCGAATTAAAATGATATAAGTAAATCTTGGCTGAATATTAAACCCAAATATCTCGGCTTTTTCTTATTATTTTGAGATGTAAAGTACGGCATAGCCCTTCCTTTTAACATCATGATCAACCCCGGGTGATCAATTGTCAATGTTTTAATCATAATTTTGAATTTTTTAAGGTATCTTTCAAGTGCTTTCGTTTCAAGCTCCAAAATGTCTGGTCCTCCAACAACCTTGGCACAGCAGTGTACAACAAGTACTGATACACCAGCTGAACCATCCGTGATTGGACCAATGCCRCCAGTAAACCCATCACCCAAGAGCCCAATTAGTGAACTGATGGAGATTTGCATGCGTATGGGAATTGATGTTACATTCACTGTGATTTCGGAGATTGGACCCCCACATAACAAAGAATTTGTGATTTCCTGTTCAGCTGGGAATATAATTGGACAAGGAAAGGAGTACAATAAGAAGAAAGCTAAACATCTAGCCGCTGCAGACGCATTGAAAAAGCTGCAAGAATCAGAGGAATATAAGAAYTATTTGTTTGTAAGTMAATATTATACAATTATTGRATGAGCTTGAGCATGAYATWGTRAATTTTCATGACCAAGACCGTGTTATCTAGTGTCAAAGCTTATAGACCTGATGCAGATAAAACAGCCAAGGTTATTTAAATTCTATCAGATACATAGTTTCAATTCTTCTATCATACTGCTCGTTTGATCATGTTCAACATCTTAATTTGCACATTATAAATAATAATAATAATAATTATTAGTAAGTTCACACAGTGTGCCCCTACCCCCCCCTCCCCCCCAAAAAACAGCATTTTTTTGTGGGTGATGTCGCACTGTGTGTCAGAACCTTAAGAGCACTCATGTATGCATACAGTAGTTTCTTCTCCTAACATCGCATCATACAAGGCCAAACTGATGGAACCACAAAATAGATATAATTGGTGCCCTCTACTTATTTTATCYTTAGAATAACTAATATAAATCTGGTCTGGATTTCTGATTGGCTGGAGCCAAGTGCTTTAGGATTCAAAACTGCACAGGCACACACAGTTTCATTTCAGATGCCCTAATGTTTGTTTTATAAAAGAAATTAAAAACTTGCATGCYGTGCTGTGTACAGTTATAATGCGCACAGAGTATTGCAGAACACTTGCATGCTTCATAACTGCACACAGCTTCAATGCGCATAAATATTTGAAGTAAAATTAAAAAATTAATTTGAATTAGCATTGGCTCCACAGAATGGCTCTTCTTCCACTGGATTCCAAATGGATTCTAAAAGTTGATTTTTTTCGAGGGAGGAAAAACCAGAGAAAAACCTTTAAAGCACAGGAGAAAACATTTTCTATTAATATTATTATATTTTATTATCCAACAGAACCGAAGTACCAAAGCAGCAGCACCATCTCACTACAATGTAGTAGGCCAACTCCAAGAAGCTATTGCTAAAAAAGGCTTACAACTTCCCCAGTATGAATTTGATCAACCAATCGGACCACCACACAAGCGGCAATTTGTCACCAAGGTCCAAGTGGGTAATCTAACTGCTTCTGGTTCAGGAAGAAGCAAGAARGAGGCTAAAAGGTCTGCAGCAGCAGCCATGCTTGATAATCTTAATTGCAGTAACTTRTCATTGCATGTACCGGCAAAGAAGATTGCATTCAAACCTGCATCTAGTGCTATTGACCCAACACCTATTCTCTTTAAAAGTGGAGGAACATTGTAACCCCTAAACTACATCCTAGAAACCCTGACTTTATTGCCCTATTTCACTATGACGTCACATCAAAACAATCTACTGTTTAAACGCAAAGGATCATGGTCGTCGGAAAGGGTCAAATCAACGCAAATTCACCGAAAATTGTTCTAAAACCTGTATCAATCCACGAAGAGAAGTAGAATAGCCAGTAAACACTCAGAATATTTTTTAGTACATATTAACACATATTATCTCTGAAAACCAGGCCATTTTAGATTAAACTGTTTTGCTAGGAGCAAATTTTGTTGAATTTTCTATTGGATTTGGTAATTCTATCCCATACATAAACAAGCAGTGACATCATAGTGAAATAGGGCAATTGGGAACGCTTGTAAATGAATACATCCAAGAGACCTTGGCTAAAACCAAAGTAATGTGACGTTAGGCCTGCAATAAGTTTACTAGCTTTCAATATTACATTTTGCAAGCAGTTTCCATACAGGAAGTGCTTAGTCAATCAAAGAAATATTTCATCCCAAGGAATCATAAATGTGCGCAGTAGCAARGTTTGAAGGAAAATAATTGAAGGAAAACATATGAAATCTGTWGAAACTTAAGTCTCGCAGGGAATGTTTTTCGTACACTTCAAAAAGCATTAGCGTTATATAATTCACGCTCAAGAAATGAAATTTTGCTTTGTAATTTTTCTTAGCTTGCCATTTTAAAGTTTAGTTTTTATATGCCTTCAGGAAGGTACATCATGTTTTTTTCCATGGCTAATTAAAGTAGTAATTATACAGCTTCTCATTAATCCCATATWGGTAACTGTCCAATTATTTTCTTAATTGGACAGGTCTTGTTGATATGGKATTAATTAGGCAGCTATATAATTAATAGGTAATAGGATTTCATGCTCCCCAATCAAAAAATAATTAGACTCGAAAAATTCCTCTGACTGACAAATTGGACTCGGACTACAGCCTCATCCAATTTTGTCAGTCCTCGSAATTTTCCTCGTCCAATTATTTCTTAATTGGACAGCATGGGATCCTATTACATATACAAATCAAAAAAACTTTGAGAAAGTCCAAAGTATGATCTCCTGAAAAAATGTCATTCAAAGAGACCCCGTGATTTGGCATGATTTTGCTAKAAGGTAATTATATTGGTGGTGTGTGTCCCGATTTAAATAAAATGACAAAAAATGTGGCAGCCATGTTGGTTGACAAGACAWAAGAMACCAAGACCAAATCTTTTGTTCAAGTCAACCAACATGGCGGCTATGACGTCACATGCACAAGGACAATAGRCATGGCTGCCATGTTGGATGACRTGACAAAAGAAATCAAACCACATCTTTTGTTAAACTCATCCAAAATGGCGGCTATGACGTCRCATGCACAAGGACAAAAGACGTGGCTGCCATGTTGGATGACATAACAAAAGAAACCAAGACCACATCTTTTGTTCAAGCCAACCAACATGGCGGCTATGACGTCACATGCAAAAGGACAAAAGACATGGCCGCCATTTTGGTTGACATAACAAAAGAAACCAAGACCAAATCTTTTGTTCAAGTCATCCAACATGGCGGCTATGACGTTACATTCACGACCCTTACTATACACTTATTTCAATAAAGTTAGTCACCTGAAAAGCTATAAAGCTGAGGCCGACAAGGATTATGGGTAAATTCATTTTACACGTTCAACCGCTTGATAACTGTTGATGGACTTGCGAATCTTCTACCGGTTACAGTCTCACCTCTACTGAGCATCATCGAGCTGCAGTTTGTATGAARAAAGATGTAMTTGTTGGAAATGAATTGTCTCCCATGATCCTCAGTGATCTCAGCTTTCTAGGTTTTTAGTGACTAACTTTATTGAAATGAGTATATATAGACTTTAATAGGATAGGGATATAAAATCGTCCATAAAATAAAAAATGCATTAAAATCTACTTCGGTCTCTTTTTGTACCTTTGTTAATGTTCCGAAGTTTCGGCGGAATCAGAGGCCTTTCATTAKGTAAATGATACTGAATGAATGATTACGATCATAAAACGCCTGATTTCGCTAGACAAACTGAAAAAATGTGCAAGTGTGTCACTGAACCCTTTCCGCGTCTTATTTGCATAATAATAAATCCAGCGATACGTGGAAGGGGCATTCCAAAAACATAAAACTGAAAGGAGGACGTAGAGCTTAGTTTATACTAAAAATCTTACAGCAACGAACAGTTTTCCCTTCTCCATAGGTTTTCGGTAGTCTATAGATGAGTCTCCACGATAAGATGGAAAAGAAATACAAAACATTACTTTAGTTACTTGGCATTACATTTTCAACCCTTTCCACACGCTCCTCTCCCCCAATAAATCCTGTTTTCACTTTTCCCCAGAAATTCTAAAAAAAGCTAAAGAGGAAGAAAGAAAAAGAAAGATTGTTGCCATTTTTAAATCAATCCTTCCCCRCATCTTCAATACCCCAATAATTCCTGTAATCGTAATTGCTCTAGAAATATTCTATTCATTAAAACTGACCAATTCCGCGAGACTTTGAAGCCCTATAACGTATGAATAAATTTTTCACTTGATCTTGGCGTATCTAGGCAACTTTGTGTGACCTCTACRACTGGTACCAGCTTTAGTACATGGAATCAAAATTCTATCATTTYATCCGCGTGATTCCATCTTCGATTCATTCAAAATTCCTTGAAAAATTTCTTTTCTTTATATATATATTTTTTGAAAATAAAAAGAAAAGCTCTAATGATCTAACACTGCGGAGTATTCAAGCCATATTTTATTGAATGAAAGGATTTAAATAGGTGAGTCAAGCATAAACGTTATGGTCTCGTTCTTCGCATTGAAARCAGCTTTAAGTCGKCGTTATATAGTCTAAAATTGTTAGTRGAAATGATTTGACGCCTTCAAWTAATTCTTATAAGTTATATCGATTTTGAGCGACCAATATGGGGTTATATTGGTGGGTAGTTGGGAAAAAACCATATAACCCGTATTGCCGTACCTTGTCAAGGAAGGCCAATACGGTATATGTTTATATTTTCTTCCAACGTCAATGTAAACCCGTATTAGTCGCTCAAAATCTCAAAATCAAATTTTTAGGAGGATCGCGATATAAGTTTTAAAAATAAGCTTATACTTTAGGTGCAAGATGCAAAGTATATCTATTAAAACATGTATTCATGTATGAGTTTAGGTTTCATTTCGCCTCATTACCTTTCGTTGAAAGTTAGTTTTCTAAGTCTCTTTGTTTCATAATGGTTTTTCATTGTTTTCTTTACTTATAAGGTTTTTCCATTTCATTGATCATTGAAATTTCCAGTATAAATTCACTAGAACTAAGTCAGTCGAAGCCAAGTTTGCACCAGTTTGTTTTGTAAGAATTTTTCTCGTTCTGTTCGCCGGTTCTTGAGTTCTTGATTTACTTTAGTTATTCTCTATATTTAACTTATATGTTTATTTGTTGTAGAAACCGTATTTAAGGTATTAGGATACGAAAAATGACGATTTGCTCGAAAACTTTTTTTTTTGAAATTTCGTAACTTTAAATTTTTGTAATTCATATGTTTGTGAAACTTCTTGCAATTTTTGATTGGAAAAGCCAAAATTTTGAGACAAATCAAAATCGTGACTTTATAAAGACCGGAAATGTCCCGTCGCTTGCAATAACGTCGAGTCCAAATGCTCCTTTTTTGTCCTTGTAAAAAGATCCCGCATTGCGATCATCCAGAACAACATATAATTTGACAAGTGATGACAAAATGGAAGGCTCCAGGTGTTTTGACCAACACCATCGTGGCTCCCTGCAGCTTCCGGCTCAAAACAAAGAAATGCATTTTTCTCGAATCTTTTTTGCCGCTAAAACCTCAACTTCAAAAACTTAAAAGGCCCTTGGATTTTATTCGATTTTTCTTAAATTTGGAGAGTTTATAAAGTAACTCATGATCCAAAAAAGTTTGCGCGCATCGGTCGTAAACGTATCCTAATGTATTAAGGTATTAAAACTCCTGGTCACAACCCAATGTGTAATAATAGCTATAAGTTTACGGTTCCGCATACGATATACATTTGATCGACTTTTGATCGTGATTTTAGTTAAAACAAGAAGACGTTATATTAACTGGAGCCTAGCTTGTTAAGTTAGCAATAGCTTTGTTTTTTTTGGTATTCAGCTTAGTTTGATATGGAACAACATGAAATGATACCGCTTAGTTTATCACTATATATAATTTTAAAAGCTTCGTACTCCCCCTATCCTGCGTGCAGCCAGACTTTTCTCTCGTATAGGACTTAGCAGTCAGTTAGTGGTCGGCTGAGCACAGGCTATACTTCCCCCGCTTTTAGTAATTGAAACTGAACTATCCAAAGATAAATTTCATAATGTCTCTCTGCCGGAATAACTGTGGTTGTGAAAAAAGTTGTCGACTGCTTGGTGCCATGATAATTGCTTTTTCAAAAAAAGCCAATATATAATCTTTAAAAGAGATGGAGCGAGACCGTTAGACAGAGCAACATTACAACTATGCTAAAAACTTGCAGCATTTAACTTTATTACCGGAAAAACCAACTCATGATCAATTTATAACTTCAAGAGACGATATGTATGGAAACAAAAGATTGGAACTATTAAACAAGCGCTCCTCAGTTTCAAAAAAGTATCGTTTTTACGTACTATTTTCCTCGACGACTAAAATGAAACAATGCCTTCCTACCTAAATTGTATTCTGAATTCAATTCAATTCATTCATGCATGATAACGATGCTTCATTAACTATTAACTCAAATGGAAAAATAGTAGTGCCCAACTGATAACATGCATGGTCATAGTTATAGAATTCATAAATAAATAATAGAAAAAATAATTCAATAAATATTCATAGTTTAAGAATCGATTCCACTGCGCATGCGACTTTATCCCGAAGTTCTCACCTTCTTTTGTTCTTAATTAAACAAAAGAAGGTGAGAAATTTGGGATAAAATCGCATGCGCAGTGGAATCGATTCTTAAACTATGAAAAGGCTTATTTACTCAGTTCTTTTTAAAGCAATGCCCATTTTGATAAAAAGCAGGTGAGCCAGCGACCTTTTTACTCATGACCACTGATTGTTTTTTAGCTTTGTTCTTGAATCCAATATTTCTGTTTTCAGACTATTCTTTCCTACTATGAACCAAACACTTGGCATAGCACTTAATGCGAAAGGCCTAACAAGACTTCCATCYAAAGGACCCTCAACGATCCACCAAAGGGGTCTCTTGTGTTTCTGGATAGCGTCCCTGGTCCTTTATGTGTTAAGACTCTTTAATAGGCATTTCCGACTTTCCAGCAGATTCCTTGGTAAGTTAAATTGAATTGAACTTTGTGAATGATATTTCATTAGACTTCAGCGTCAAAATATTTACGCGGAATACTAACGCTAAAGTTAAGAATTTATAATTTCAACAATACAAAAACTTGAAGTTGAAATTCTACGACCCTAGCTTCTCAACAACACATGTATATTCTATACAAGGAAGAGGCTAAGGGAAACTTCATGGAAAAGCTTTTATATAATGTCAATCATAGATAAATCAATGAATCCTAACTTCAATAATGTTCAAGTCAGGATATCAGGGATGTTAGAACGAAGATTCGTAAAGCATTCTGGTAGTGGTAKTAGCAAAATGACGTCATAATCAAACAGCTCAGCTTTGCGAAATTGTTATTGATACTTTCTTTATGCAATTTTAGACAGTACCGAAATTACAAAGATAGCGGCACTATTAGAAAATGGCGAACTTTCACCAAGTGGGAAAGAAAAATATAACGACGAAGATACAAAACCAGAGAAGCCGCCAAAACCCATTCAAAACCTAACGAATGAAACTTCATTTGATGAATTTTTGAAAAATGTCGTGGTTTTGGGCGCCATTATGCTTTATTTCTACATCTGCGACTACGCACATTACTTTCCAGCGGCACCTCGCGTCTATTCACGTGACGTCTTTATTTTCTTGAGCCTCGTTTTGGTGTTGRTCAGCGCCTTTTTTACTACAACACGTGACTGCTCTGCAAAATTCCTGAATCGGGAACAGACTGAGGAATGGAAAGGAATTATGCAAGTTTTGTTTGTGTGGTACCATTATTTCAAAGCTGTAGAGACTTACAATGCTATTCGTGTGTTTATTGCTGCTTATGTCTGGATGACAGGGTTTGGTAAGTTAATAATAATAATTT